TTTAAGATGCTCTTTTTATATTCAATCATATTACTGACCTTTGACCAGTTATCCTAGTTAGTTGCAAAGTATTTTTCCAGGTGTTTCTTTCTAAGACCACTTACTTTTCCAGTCTTTTGTTGCCTTTGTTGTCTTTTGTTAACTTAATTATGATAATAATTATAATTGTATAAAGGAGCCTTTGAGGTGGTCTGGGCATCTGACAAGGATGCCTTGTGGGTGAGGTGTTCTGGGCATGTCCAACCAAGAGGAGGCCCTGGGGCAGATCCAGGACACTCGGTAGAGGTTTATCTCTCAGCTGGCCTAGGAAGCCTCTGTGCTACCTGGAAAAGCTAGATTAGGTAGTTTGCTACAGACTGGGCTTCTCTGCTTAGGCTGCTGTCCCAGCAACCTGACCCCATATAAGCAGAAGAAAATGGATGGATTATTATTATTAAATATGAGAAAATATATTTCATGAAATAATAAAAGGTTAGAAATATGTTTTATTGTGAAGAAAATATGGATGGAAATATGGTTTGTGCCCCAATTTTTTGGAATTTGGGGTTGTGGCATAAGACAACCATACCACTTTATAAAAACAAATACACTGGATGCTTTTCCTGGATCCTTCCTTTGTATGTAAAGCAAAAATGTGAACCACTATATTATGGAGCCACTTGAAATGCTAAAACAAAGTCTCTGGAAAATAAAAGAAGATTCTACTCATGTTTATTAGGGCGTGCAGTCTAAGAATCCAAACCTGTGTCTTTTTCTTTTCAGAGCATCCTAGCTCTGAATCCAAGGGTGAAGCATCATGCTCAGATCATATCCACAGCCAGTAAGAAGAAAGAAAAGAAACACTGGAAGAGGAACCCTGAAAGGAACTGCGATGTAAGAAAAATACACAAACAAGACGTAGCTTCAATTAAAAGAGTATCTTTAGTCAAATTAGAGCATTTGCATAATGTAATGCTTGGAAAATCATTCATCATGTTCACTCTTTTTTCCAGTCTTGTGTGAAGTTAGAAAACAACTTTGACGACATCAAGCATACAACACTGAGCGAGCGAGGAGCACTACGAGAAGCTCTCAGGTGAAGATTAATGAAGAGGCTACTTTATTTATTTGTTTTTAATGTAGAATATGTCACAAATATGATTTACATTCAACTTATGTTAAAAAAGATACCAAATTTCAGATGGTCACAACAAATGCAGGCTAAAGAAGAGTATTCTGATCATTGTCAGGCCAGTTCCACACATGTACTTTTTTTTTTTATCACCATTAGAGAAAAAGGGCAGCAGTGCAATGAATCCAACTGTTAATTGAATAGCCATGACATTTGTACACACAATATAATAATAATCCATGTCAAAAGAAAGTTTTTTTTCCAGGACTTTCTTTATTTTTTCAGTTAGCTACACCATCATGACAAAATGTACAAAATGTATAAAATGTAAATTTTATTTATGAGACGAAATCGTGATAGTGACGTACTGGCACATTAAACTAAGACACTGTACATGAAAAGTATTATCTTAAAGGTATCCATTATAATATTAGACATTACAGCACTACAAACTGTGTAACAATTTAGTTTCATTACAGCCTTATGGAATTATAGGTCTTATCAGTAACTTTCCATAGTCACGACTGCATTATGTATTAGTGCATTTTTGTTGGAAATTAATCTTTTGTGTGTGGATGTTTTTTGTCTAAAATAACAAAAATCCTCCAAACTGTTTGCATGCAATTTTTATTTTTTAGAAATCTTACTTGGTTAAGCTGCAGAAACAAATGAAAATTTTGTGTTTAGATGTCTAAAATGTGCTGATGCTCCCTGTCAGAAGAGCTGCCCAACTAATCTGGACATCAAGTCATTCATTACGAGTATCTCCAATAAGGTAGAATCCACTCTGCACTCTTTCTGTCATGATCCCGAGTCTTGTACCCAGCGTTTCCTGTTTTGGACTTTTAGTTTTGGTTTATTTGGTCTGAGGTTGAGATTCTGTTCTTTGTTTGGTTACTCTTACTTTGGTTTCTCTGTTAATTATTTGTACTCCTAAGTCATCTTGGTTTGTTGTCTAGTTTATGTTGTCTTATCTCTGTCTCCACATTTATTCGCCTGTTCCCCAGTCATGCCTCTGTTTCTCTCACTCCCTCTGTTCCCTGT